CTGTATTATTTAAATAAGTTACAGCTGTTACTAACTGTGATTTGATGTATTATTTACCTTGCTCATGGCTGTCAGTGTGAAGTTTTAGCTGTATTATTTACATGGGTCATAGCTGTCACTGGCTATGTTCCCTGTATTATTTACATGGGTCATAGCTGTCAATGACCATGTTTTGTTTAAAGTAAATACATTGGCCATAGCTGACACTGACAATGTTTTCTGTTCTATTTAGTTTGGTCATTGCTGTCACTGATCATATTTTGTTGTATAATTCATACAGGTCATAGTTGTCATTGACTATATTTTGCTGTATTTTTTAAATTGGTAATAGATGTTACTAGTCATGTTTTACTACATTATTTATATTAGTCATAGCTATCACACACAATGTTTTGCTGTATTTATATATATTGGTCATAGCTGTTATTGACCATGTTTAGCTGTATTATTTAAAATGTTTGTATCTGTCATGGTAGATTTTTGGCTGTATTATTTACATCACTAATATTGACTATCTCATACTGTATTATTTACAGTATAAGGAAAAATATTATGCTAAATAAAAAAAGCTATGTAGGGCTGGCTACTAAACTTGAAAAAAAGGAACCAAACAAGATAGGGATGGAAGTGGACATATCACTTGATCCGGCTAATAATCACATAGCAGACTAAGCTGGTTCGACTTTACATGGGAAATAAAATCCCTACTTTACTGGCCTCCTCACTGGCAAAATAAATAAAGCCAGAATTTCCAATCGTAAAATGTTACTCTATTGTAAAATAGTCATAAAAGCGGCATTCCAAAGTTAAATAAAGAAAAGTTATAACAATGAAAGCTGAGATTCTATTCAAATACCAAGCTTTCGATAGATAAAGTGATATGTCCACTTCTATCCCTATCTTGTTTCGTTCCCTTTTTCAAGTTCAGTAGCCAGCTGTACATAGCTTTTTTTTAACCAATAAATTGCTTCCTAATACTTATTTATTTACTTTTTTATAAGATGGCAAACATGGGTTACTAGTTTATACAGTGTATTCTAAAGCTTTATAAATTTTGCGTAGAATAATAATAAAATAGGTAGTCAAAGATCGTGAAGATTGTTTTGCCCTATCAAATGATGATAAAATTATAGTTACTGCTAGAATTAAGTAGGCGCTAGGCCTATTGAAAAAAGATGATGACAAATGAAAATAAGAAATATCGGTTAATGTCACGACTTTAGGTCTCACATTTGACAGACGCTTTACCATGGGAAATTTGTCCATGTTTATTCACAGGGAGACTGAACGTTATATGGTTCAATCTCTACCTCCAGACATTGCCCCACTTTCTCCTGAAGTTGTGGAACTTGGGCAGGCTGACAAGGACTTTGGTCGCCTGTTCCCACCTCCTGAATTTGCCATGCCTTCCGATACCCTTTCTGAGGATTCAGTTCGGCCTTCCACGGTTTTTTCGGACATTATTTCTCAGGTATGTTATGTTTATCCCTTGTTCCCATATCTTATTACCTGCGTCCTTCATTACTGCATGAATATACTTCCCAACCCTATTTCATTTCCTCCCCATCTCCCGACATTCGGTTTCATGTTGAACAATTCACCTCTTAGTTGGGCGATGCCATTAGTATGCCTCGTACTCCACGGGCTTCGGATCAATTTTCCCTCGCATATCAGAGGGCTGACAGTCTATGTCTCGACAAACTGTTGGGTTCGGTTTTCCCCTTTTGGGGGCGGGCTCCGAATCTCCCGATAGTCTAACCCATGTCCAAGTTTTCTGCCTCCGTCTTACCCTCACTACTCTTTTGGAGTACCTTTCCACAATCCATCTCCTGCCTCAGGCTCTTCACAGAAATCCTGAGGGGTTTTCTGGGGACATCCTCTTCCTCCTTACCTCTACATTGATTCGTTTGTCGTCCTCGGTTCTGGCTTTACAAACGTGGTTTATCTGTTGTTGGGACCTTTTAGGTCGTGATGCTGTTTTATCGAGAACTCGTTTACCTGATCCTTATCTCCGGGATTTGCATATGACTCCATTTTTAAGACATTTTGTCTTTGATACAGGCCTGGAGTCCTTGGAGTCTCGGGTGGCATCTGTCCAGCAACAATCTACTCTTTCTCATCTGGTTGCCCATTAATCTCAGTTGGAGCCAAGTATGGCATCAATTCCCGTTTCCTGTCCTTCCATTTACCAGCCCTTACCTTCGGGCTAGCTTCTGCACCTTATGTTTTCTGTCAGGTGGTTAGAGCTTTTGCTTTTCATCTTCTTGCCCTGGGGCTGCATTTTAATTTTTACACAGATGACTGGCTACTTCTGGTCCATTCTGAACAGGAGTTGGCCAGTCATACCCATCAGCTCCTTCTCGAAGCTGCTCGGGTAGGCTGGTTGATCAAATTGGAGAAGTCCTTCATGCATCCTACCTAATACCTTTCATTTGGGTTTCTTTTTCATCACTCACCTCAATTGGGCCCAACCTTCTCCTCTCCGACTCTGTTCTTTGGAATTGTCAGTTCACCATGCCCTATCTGCTCCCTTATTTTCTGCATGTGAGGTTCTGTCGCTTTGGATGATGTTGGCTTCTATGACAATGCTAATCCCCCTTGGCTGTGCACACATGTACTCTCTTCAGTGAGCTTTGCACAATCAGTGGAACCTTGCATTCACCACTGCCCTAAATCACCAGTTACCCTTCTTTTGGTCCCCAGTACCTCATCCTAAGGCTTTGGCTAAAGGTCCTTCAGCCAAGATTGGTCACATAAATTCCTATATGTTTATCATTGTATCCAATTGCTTCACTGGGTAGTTTCCCTTATCCTTGCCACACTGTGCCGGGTCCTTCTGATAACTCCCTACTGGCTGGCTCAACCATGGTTTCCTCATTTACTCCAACTACAATTATTCCCTCCTGTACCACTTCCATTATTACCTGACCTCCTTTAATAATCCCAGTCACTGGTTCTGCATTCCACATTTCACATCCTCCATTTTTACATCTGGCTTTTGTCCAGTCCTTGACAAGGAGATCTGGTTTCTCCCTTGTGTAGGTTTTCATTTGGCTCAATCCATCTGTCCTTCCTCCATGAAAGTGTATTGGCGAAAATGGAAGGTCTTTCACACATGGGCCCAGGCTTGGGAATTTCCTGTTGCTGGTGTCTCCAAGTTTCTCACGTGGCTTTTTGTGGTCTCCTCGATTTTAGGATATCAGGCAGCTTTATCCAATACCTTTTGTTTTTCTCATTACCACAGGGTTTTTCTTTCACTCATCCTTATTACGTTAATCCATTCCTTCTGGATTCGTCGACCTCCTTGGTGACCTGCTCTTCCATATTGGAACATCAATGTGGTTCTCTATTCCCTTATTTTACCTCTGTTCAAACCTATTCCCTTGCATTCTTTGTTTCACCTGTTCCTTTAAGGTGTATTTCCTTTTCCTTTTGGACTGTGGGTGTCCACAGTCTGACTTGTTCACCATTGACATTACACACACACTTTACCACCATAACTATCTTTTCCTTTATACAGATCATTCCTTCCTTCCCAAAACCTCATTGACTCATGAAGGTAACTCATCCTTTTCGCCTATTTCACTTTCCTATGTTGCTCATCTCTACCCACATCCCAGTCCAGATAGATTTCTATGTCCTGTGCATGTCCTTTATTGTTATATTGCCTGCATGGCTTCCTTCCGTGGTTCCCGTTCCCGTCTCTTTATCCCACGGCAACCCTCTTCATCCAGAGAACCCTCCCCTTTTACCCTCACTAATTGGGTTCATCATTTGATCCCATTGGCTTGTTCCTCCTTGTCCCCTTCTCACTGTACTTTGTTCTGTGTTACCTCTCATCAAATCTGACACCTCACCTTTTCCCTTGCTTCTCGTCTTCATTAACCTTTGGAGGAAATCCTATAACTGGGCATGTGGACCAACCCTAACATGTTCATCTACTATTATTTACGTCATATCACAGTTTTGGCTTCCTAGGGTTTTCGCCTTCCACCTGTGTGTACTTTAGGCTTTGGTGCAAGTCTGACACTGAGTAAGTCTTTATTAATACTTTTCTTTCAGGACCTATTCTTCATACCTTCATTACATGGATCCCACTCTGTGGGGAGTGGTACCTGAAAAGGTATTCTTCAACTCTAAATCTGCACTGTACACCATGTTGAATAGCTTTTTCCTTTTCATGGCTTTGCACACTCACCTTTAAAATGGGGCATTTCACAAGATTGCTTGTAGGTGAATACCTCACAATATTTGCTTCAAAAATTGGTCTGTCACGGACTATATCATACATGGACTTCATGGGTAAAGCAGAAAGGGATAGCTGCCCATTCCTGCCATGGTTCGATTGAATAAATCAGTATGGTCTTCTTTTCAAAATAGGGTTTTGTGATCAACCATTGCACTGTCTCGAGTGTCGACGTTCCTTTGGGCTCTCCAATGCATTCTCAGCCCCCCTTTTCTTCTAGTGGAGTAGGGGTGTTCTTACCACTTACCAGTTTCAAGCCACTGGGATGATCGATCATGGAGGCAACCTGCTGGATGGGTTCCACATAAGATGGTCATAACCATTCAGTTCAGAGTAGGGCAATGGTGTTCTGCCAGTGCAGATGACGTAATGTCTTCCGATTTGCAATTAACCATACAACAGAGTGAGATGTCAAAATGCAGTTCACCCCTTCAATTGGGAGCCCTCATACTACCCTTGTTTGGATGTTGGTACTCCAAAGGCTGGTTTTGGATTTCGAGTGAACCAATCAACATAAGTCCTCACATAGGTTTAAATTTGTCTATCTTCCTCCCTCGATTTCCTCCTTCTGTGTTGTGGGTTACAGCAGGGATACATGTGATTATTATGGTTCTATCCTTGGCTCTTCCTCATTCACTCTTATTACGTGGATGTTATTGCCCTTTGGATAGTCCCGACCTGTGTCACGGCCACAGGAGTTGATTGCATGTGATAGACTTCCCTTTAAGAGTTAATCCTGTGTAATACCCAGGAATCAGAGTGGTTCACAATACCCCGGTTCTTGGGTGAAGACAGTATGATCCTCATCTTACCCTCCCGTGGATGTCGGTACCCAGCGAGGAGGTTTTGGATGTAGTTGACTTACAGAGTATGGTCCACCATGCCCTAGCCACTCTACACCATGGGACACATCCTAGTTTACCCACTTTTCTTATTGTGGGATTGAGTTATTATATCTTTCTCCAGTTAGGATCACTTTCCTACCACATTCTCTCTCACTCAGGTGTGCTCCTCTCATTTTCCACCATGATTTCTTACATATTCCACATATGGGTGAAGAGTTATATCTGGATCGGAAGTGGTGTGGTTCCCCTTTTCAGATTTGACGCTCTCATCTACAGAGGTATCTATCAGATGCTTTTTTGGGGGGGGGGTACATCTGTTCTTCCCTTGCACCGGTCCTATACTGGAAATGTATTTCCGGTAGGTACTGGCCAGGCATGGCCAGGTGGTTAGGGCGCTTGACTCGCAATCTGCGGGTTCGAATCCCCGTCCCACCAAACATGCTCGCCCTTTCAGCCGTGGGGGCATTATAATGTGATGGTCAATCCCACTATTCGTTGGTAAAAGAGTAGCCCAAGAGTTGGCGGTGGGTGGTGTAGACTAGCTGCCTTCCCTCTAGTCTTACACTGCTAAATTAGGGACGGCTAGCGCAGATAGCCCTCGTGTAGCTTTGCGCGAAATTCAAAACAAACGAACAAAACAAACCGATAGGTACTTCCCTCCTCTCACACTTCCCACCTTTCCTCCCCACTCACTCCCGCTGCTTCCGTCGTTTGCCAAACTTCGAAATGTTAGTTCGGTAGAGGAACATAGAGGGAGTCACATGCGTCACGTGAGTGTACTATTCTCCTATTGATGGAGAAGTGACGCACGACGATTTGCATGAGAGATACGTTGGAATCATTAGGGGGGAGTGGAAAGCTTATGGCACGCGAAATAAAAAAAGGTTTGCATATAGAGGGCAGCAATGAACGAGAATAACTAATCTTGTGAGAGGTGGGAAGTACCTATCGGAAATACATTTTGAGTATAGGAAAATTATAAATTTAGTCTATTATTGACATTAGTCATAGCTTTCATTGACTATGACTTACTGAATTCTTATAGTGGATACAGTTGGTACTGTCC